GGTAAGAAAACACAGCAGCTTGAAACGGAGATGATGGCTCTTGCCAGGGAGCAAGTGGAGGGAGCTATGTCATCCCTAGTGAATCCTAATTTGATAGTGTCGTCACAGCAAAACTTAGGCTGGCATGAAGATCATAACATCTTTATTACTGTAGCAACAAGTTCTGAAAAGTCTTACAAAGAGTTTTTGAACATACTGGATCATTTATATGTGATAATGCTAATAAGCAGATACTATTTCATACAACTCATATTTGAGTAAAGTTAGAATCAGTCACGTGCGTGATGTTAGCAGGATCTAGCTACAGATCAATTTGCCTTTGAAGTACACATTCCTGGCAATAATGTTTCTTTACATATGGATCCAGTGCTGCTATTCTGGCTGTCAGTCTACAACAATGCCATGGATGCTCTAGGGCTTTTCTGGATACTAGGGAGAGGAGGCAAAGGCAACATTTCATTCCATTCAGAAAATCTGTAGCTACTTCTCCTGGTAACTCCATGTGTTTCAGAGAAAACTTCTCGCCTCCAGAAAATTAACTGTGCCTGCAACTATTTATTAAAATTCATGTAGGTCATATTGTGCCGTGATGGTATAACAGATACAGCAGTGAAAAGAAGTGCCTGATTACTACAGACTGTGAGCACTTTGAGAGTGAATGATAGTTACAAACACACACACACACACACACACACACACACAATTAGGCTGGGCTATCCAGAGAATCAAAACCAGTGGCCCTCCTAGATGTATAAAATACAGCATTATATCGAGATGTGTTCTCCTATCAAGAAGGCCTCCCAGTCCAGTACAACTTGATAACATGAGTCATATGCTTGCTAGAACCCTCTTCAGACTCGAGTAGCTGCAAGCCCAGAAAGGTGAAATGGAGATGCAACGAGGTCACAGGACCTTGGGTGCAGAGCTGCACAGACCCAAGGGCCGTGGAAACATAGCAGGACCCCAAGAGCTCTTGAGTGGGAGGCCCACCTGAGGCAGGCACAGTGACCTAGCAAGCAGGAGGACACAGGACCAAAGAGAGAGGAGAGGGGTCCCCAACGTCTCCCTCCCAGGAGGTTATCATCACACTGTGACCTGACTGACAGGTTGGGCTTCACTCACCTCACCCCACCCACAAGTGCCAGTTGACATAAAATCTAATCACCACACAGAGGCAGCTAAACAGCATTGCTAGTTCAAATGGACTTGTAACTGCCAGTGGACAAAGGAACATCAGTCTCCATGACAGGGAGACCAGAAGCATTAGCTGGTGCCCAGCCAATATGAACAACTGCTGGAAAACGGATCACACTAGCAAGTCCTGAACAGAGTGGGTGAAGATATAGGAAAGCATTTACAATCATAAAGAGAGAAAGGCTTACTGGTCAAACAGATACTCGTGGAACCCTGCCCCACTATGGGCCCTGCTCATCCTTCAAATCTGGAAATGAACTCACACCCAGGTCTCATTTTTCAGAAAAACAAAAGGCAGGTCTATGAGGGAATTAATAACACTAGTGAGGTATACAAACCTTAAGTGTCAACCATGTGAGATAAAATGGTCCGCATTTATCCCAAAAAAAAGTTCATAAAAGTTAGGTAAAGAAGAGAACTGGAAATAGAAAACACAGGAAGAACGTGGGATACATGATATTGCATTGTGGATAATGTCATCCAAAACATGATACAAAATGTAGATGAATTGGTGAATGGAAATAATAGCAATCAAAAGTGTATAGATATAGTTGAAGGATATGTTGAGAAGTAGAATTTATATCTTGATAATTTTAAAAATAAATGTTTCTATGATTTTTAAACAATAATCTTTGACTTATACTCATACATTCTATATATATACACACATACACAAATATACATCTTGAGTTTGTCTTTGTACTTGGTATAAGCACAGTATGCTTTCAGCAATACTGACGTTTTCACACTATGTATTTGAGGCAACACTGAGAAAGCTGGAAAACTAATGACATAAACGAAACCATAGATTGTAGACGTTCAGAGAACATAACAAAAGATAAATACCAAAAATCTACATCTAAGGGTATCACCTTCAAACAGCACAAACGAGAAGAGAAAATAGGGGTATGTGCAATCACCTTCCTACTGAAGAACAAGATTAAGAATTATGGCAAATGTCTCATAAGAAATCATGCAAGCACGAAAGTACAAACTAAAACATGGAATGTTGAATGATAAATTAAAAATTTATGTATAATGACTGAGCATTAAAAAGCTAAGGGCGAGAAAGCAAAACAAGATGAGAAGAAGGGTGTGGAGAACTGTGGCTTCCAGGCAGTAAATTACTTAACATGGCAGTGATCAAGACACATGGCCTTATGATTTTTACAACACAACTGGGGGCAGGGGGCACCCTGGTGGCACTGTGGGTTAGGTGTTGTGCTTCCAACTGCCTTTTAGGTGGTTCAAACCCACCAACTATTCCCCAAGGACTGTCTTCTCCCATAAAGATTTACATTCTCAGAAACCCCAGGTAAGAGTCACTATGAGTCCAGAAGCAAAGACCGTGCCTCACTATGTCCAAGTGAGAAGAGCCAGAAGCGGAGCACATCCTGAGACTTCAGATCCCTTTGTAAAGAATCTCCCAGACCTAGGACACAGAGCTGTAGCACAGGAGCCAGTGAGAAACAGCAGCAGCAGAACCAGGAGACGAGCGTGAAATGAGGCAGAGAATACCCGGTGCCAAAGCAGGACAGGCTAACGGGCATGCCAGCCAACAGACAGGAGCATTCAGTTCCTTTGGCGGGAGACCTGCTGGTAGACAGGGCATGTCTGAGTCCATGTCTGTGGGGCTAACGAGCTTCGCACCACTCGCTGGAGCATGGAAATGTGAGGTTGAAGGCCAGATCAATGAGACTGTCTACAGACATGCTGAGAAGCTAACCAGAGGAAGAACTGCATTCTGAGTCTTTCCTAACTGAATTGTAGCCTGATATTTCTCTATTAAATCTCCATAACTGAGAGCATGGTTTTGTGGCCACTGCAAGAACTTACCGAACCCATCAACGAATTAAGAGTGTGCTGGGTCAGAATGGTGTCAGAACTGGTAAGAAGGTGAGAGGGTGCAGGTAGGTTTGACATGCACCTCATAAGCAGATGTCTGGGGCCAATGATCTATCTTGATGCTCTCTTACTCTTGTGAAGTAGGAGAGGTACAATGCTCCACTGCCATTTTATTTTATTTTATATGTTAAAATTTATTTATTCTTCAATTTTTTGGTCCAGTTCTTTTTTTTTTAATCAATTTATTGGGGCTCACACAATTCATCACAATACATAGATCAATTGTGTAAAGCACATCTATACATTTGTTGCCCTCATT